CAATTCTCTCTGTCAGTCTCGGTCATCCAGTTCCTGAGCCAACTGGACAAGCTGGAGCTAACAACTCAGAAGTCAGTCATCCTTAGTGCAAGAGCATCATGCTTCCTGTTCTCATATATCCACAGTACACTCGCACTTTAAACTACGCAGCATTTAACCAAGTCACTATAATGCGTTTCCACAAGTGTATGCTAAATAATTGACTCACAACCAGGTTCCTACTTAAATAAGCTAGTTAGATTCATTAAAGCTAATTGTGAAATATAACTAGCAGCACCAACCAGTTTAAATTGAGTTAAAGATGTAGCATCGTTCATTAACGATGAGTTTGCCTACAAAAGATTTCTAAATCTCAGATAGTGGCAGTGGGAAATTACAGTTTCATTAGGTAACAGTCAATTACATTATTTAAAAACTCCAATTAAGCAATTCCTAATTGCTACTTTCATTCAGGTAAGAACAAATGAAAGAACGTACAGTGCGGAGGGAGAGAGAGAGAAAAAACACAGAAGTGGTTAGAGCAGTTAATTGCCTCTGCAACAGAAGAAAATGCTTTTGTCACATCTTTTTCAAAATATCTTTTTCAATAAATGCCCAAAATGTTACTAAGCTGTCAGTTATACTCACATGATCATGTGTATAAATACATTAATGCTTTGTACTGTGGAGCTCAGTGATTGGAGCTCTATAGCTCAATGATTAGAGCACTCGCCTCGCAAGGCGAGAGACCTGGGTTCGATCCCCAGCAGGGCGAAATGTTGGGCAAGTTTCCTTACTCCACACAATCTCTGTCTACCTAGCAGAAGTAGGAACCGGGCTGTTAGCAGATTGGTAGATCGCTTTTCCGGGGATAATAATACCTCAAAAAAAATAATAATAATAATTTGGTCACTCAATCCAAAACTGTTCGTGGGACACTGCTGTGCATAATTGGCTGCCGCGTTTTGCCCACAAATCTACAGTCAATTAACTTTACAGTATATTCTGTGAAGCACTTTGAGATGTCTAGAATACGTGATAAGGCGCTATAACAAATGCAGGGATTATTATTATTATTGTTGTAAATTCTAAAACAAAGTCTCCTCAAAGGAAGACTGAAATAATGGGATGAGAATTATGACAATTATTCTTACGATGGATGCAGAATATTGCAGCAGGTGGCATAATTTTACTTGAAGTCACCAGACATCAATGTAAAATACAATCACGTTTTTGAATCGTTATTTCAAGGTATCTCTTCGTGTCAGCAATTAAATGTATCAAGGTTCCAATTGACATGCTTCAAACCCGCGGTTTAGCATGGGTAAATTTCACCCTTCATAGAATCATAGAATTATGCAGCACAGAAGGAGGCCATTCAGCCCTTCCTGTCTGTACCAGCTCTTTTAAAAGAGCTTCCAAATCAATCCCACTCCCCCGCGCTCTCCCTATAGCCCTGCAAACTTGTCCTCCTCAAATAATTATCTACTTCTCTCTTAAAAGCTGTTATTGAATCGGCTTCCACCACCCTTTCAGGCAATGCATTCCAGATCTGAACAACTCGCTGTGTGAAAAAGTTTCTTCTCACCTCCCCTGTTTCTTTTAACAACTATTTTAAATCAATGTCCTTGGGTTACCGACCCACCCGCCAGTGGTTTCCCATTGTCACCCTATCGAATCTCCTCATAATTTTGAAAGCTTCTGTTAAGTCTCCTGTTAACCTTCTCTGCTCCAAGGAGAATAATCCCAGCTTCTCTAGCTTCTCCTGATAACTGAAGTCCCTCATTCTTGGTACCATCCTGGTAAATCTCCTTTGCACCCTCTCCAATGTCTTGACATCCTTCCTAACGTGTGGTGCCCAGAACTGAACACAGTCTCCAGCTGAGGCCTAACCAGTGTTCTATGAAGGTTCATCATAACTTCCTGACTTTTGTATTCTATGCCCCGATTTATATAGCCTAGTATCCCATATGCTTTTTTAACAGCTTTATCTACCTGTCTGCCATCTTCAAAGATTTACTTATATGAAGCCCCAGATCTCTCTGTTTCTTCACCCCCCTTTAAGATTCTACCATCAGCTCCTATTGCCTCTCCTCATTCTTCCTCACAAAATGCATCACTTCACATTTCTCCAAGTTAAACTTCATCTGCCATGTGTCTGCCCATTTTACTAGTCTGTCTATGTCCTCTTGCTGTCTGCTACTATCCTCCTCACTGTTTACTACGTTTCCTAGCTTAGTATCATTTGCAAACTTGGAAATTGTACTCCTTCTACCCAACTCCCTTGATCCTACGTTTTATTTTGGAAGGTCAGAAATTTGGATCCTTTCAAATCCAGAGTACAAGTGCAAGGCTGCAGCATTGAAATCAAAACTAGCAGCGTTTATTAACCATTGCTCCTTAAATGTTAATGGAATTTATACGTTCACATGATTCTTAGCACATGTGGTCTGTGTTCATGTCTTGAGGGACCCTTCATCCGATATACTTTATTGATGAGTCAGGAGGTAGCCTAATACTCATGATGCACTCATCTGCTCTATGATATAATAATAATAATCTTTGCATTTGATATAACGCCTTATCACGTCATTGATCTGTCTCAAAGGTTTAACAGAATATATTGTAAAGCGGGCGAAACGTGGCAGCCAATTGCACACAGCAGTGTCCCACAAGCAGTCATGTGACCAAATTATTTTGTTTTATTCTTTTTTTTAAGAGATTATTATCCCTGGAAAGCGATCTGGCAATCCAACTTACTGCTAGGTAAACAAGGGCATGTGTGGAGAAGGAAACTAGCCTAAGGTTTCACCCTGCCGGGAACATTGTCTGATTGTCCATTATATTATATCAAGTTAAAATTCACTACACTAAGAACCATGGGTACTTCTATTTTATAAATAGGCAACGCAATCACATATGTACTGAATGGTTTAATTAAGTGTTACCCAGAGTACACCGGCAAATTTTAATAAGCAGCGTTTTCTAGCTGAAGAAAGTAGCTTTTCTCTAACATTTAGCCTCATGTTTCATACAGGGTATTTGAAAAAAATAAAAAATAGTATTTGAAATAATACTGTATTAGAATCATTCATTAAGTGTTCCTGGCCCAAAATTATTTGTTTCAAAAGGTTTCTTACATGTACCAGGACTTTACAATTATTCCCCTCACAATTATTCCCCTAATGCCATTCAATTAAGACAGCCTTAACAGCAGTATCACTGTGATGCTACACATAAGAAAGATTTTTTTTAAAACAAAGCTCTAATGATGTGGGAGAGCTCACAGATTGTTTTACTTTTTTTCAAATATTTCTCTTTAATACTGCCCCCAGTTGTTATGAAAACACTCGGCTGGGATCTCATTACTGAGTACAATACTTCAACTGAGTCCCTGGTGAAAATTGATCATTTCAAATATAAATCAAATTAGGCACTAAATAACAATAGGAAAGAAATAATCCTTACACTTAATATAGCCCCTTTCATGTCGGAAGAATGTCTCAAATTGATTCATAGGATATACTGCAAAGTATAGTGACCCCACTCTCCCACTGGCTCGGATCATGCTCCACTTGAGGAGGTGCTATTACAAATGCAAGTTGTTGCATTTAATGGGCTGAAAGTCATAAATCTGGTGGTTGTAAGATTCCTTCCTAAGTGAAGTTGTTGTTGAAGTTGTTGTTTTATTTTGCAAGCGAAGTTAGTTTCTCACGATTTTTCTCTCCTTTCCTGATGGCAATGCTGTAGCATGGTTCCACCAGCACTAATGACTCTCCTGTACACTTCCCAAGTGACCATTTTTTCCGCGTGAGTCTGGATATGAAGGGTCAGCAGTCTCTTTACTCATGAAGGACATCAAAGACAAGGCTGTTTCTGTCCTCAGCCAACAACACTGCACAAATTAATAAGAACATAAGAACATAAGAATTAGGAGCAGGAGTAGGCCATTCGGCCCCTCGAGCCTGCCCCGCTATTTGATAAGATCATGGCTGATCTTCAGAACTAACACTAATTACCTGCTCGATCCCCATATCCCCTAATCCCTCTATTTTTTAAAAATCTATCAGTCTCAGCCTTAATGTCAGTATGTAAGAGCAGGCTGATTTCTCCGCCTCCTTATCCAAACATATTGAGGTTTAATCTAACAGTCTTCCTAATGTTTATTTGCTGTTGTGAAATGCCATGGAATAAATATTAATCAATTGTATAGAAGTAATAATTTTTATTCTAGATTTAGGGTTCAATTTCTGTTTAATGCATTCAGGATGAAAGGAAAAGTCCACCCTATAATTGTTTTCATTTCAATATCATTAACCTGCAACCTAAACGTGTGTCAGCCTGGCTTTGTTGGGAGCACCTCCGCTTCAAAGTCAGAAGATTGTGGGTTACAGCCCTATGTCCAGACATAGAACTATCAGCCTAAAAACAGATTGCAATACAGTCCAGGGGAGGTGCTGTTTTGTTCGAGGTGCTGTCCTTCGGAAGAGATGTTAAATAGCAGTCTGCTTGCCTGTTCAGTTGGATGTTAAAGACCCCATAACCGTGTTTTGTAGGTGCACCAGTTTGCGCACAGCAATGTCAGCCATGGAGTGGGGTGGGGGGCAACCAATTTTATTTGCTGGATTTGTCCTCCAGGACACGGGGAGAAACCTTTCGAATAATGCCATGGGATCTTTAACCTTCACCTGAACAGGCAGACGAGACCTCGGGTTAAAGTATCATCTGAATGACGGCACCTCCGACAATGCAGCCTAACCCCAGCACTGCAGTGACAATTTTGACTTTATGATTCCAAGTCCTGAGGTGGGACTTGAACTCATAACCTTCTGACACAGAGGTGAGAGTGCTTCCACTGTGCCAGGCTGACAGCATTTATACCCACTGTAATAAAAACAAGCAGTGATGCCTTAGCTATGCGCTTGTGTAAAATTACTGAGTAGATAAATAATTGACTGACAAAATATTTGAATGTCAATATAAAAGTAACCAGATATCATTTATGTTGTTGTTCTCCATAGGATTATACTCTGACAATGTACTTTCAGCAGTCCTGGAGAGACAAGAGGCTGTCTTATTCTGGAATACCTTTGAACCTCACTCTAGACAACAGGGTGGCTGACCAGCTCTGGGTGCCTGATACCTACTTCATTAATGACAAGAAATCCTTTGTGCATGGAGTTACAGTGAAGAACCGTATGATTCGACTACATCCTGACGGAACAGTTCTTTATGGCTTGAGGTTTGTATTAATTACAGCTGGAGAATAGAATGAAAAGGTTACTGGCTTGAATGTCAGCGTGGGGCTAAAGGTTTCCGTGCAATCTGCCCACTGCCATAACATGACGCTTCTGTTCTTTAACTTTCTTTTCCCCTGGAGACTGTTGCGCTCAGCAGGGAATATAATGTTAATGCAGTAACATGAAACAGTTTCCCCTTTTGAGCATCCAAAGTCAGTATCCAGCATTCTTGTGCCTAAAATAATACAACGACGGATGAAAAATTAAGCCTACTCTGCTCCATCCATAGCTCAGTTGAGCATCCTGTTGTGGCTCAGTGAGTTAGTGAATTTAGCATCAAATTAAGAGTACTTTTGTGCTTTGAACCCATGCCCACTTGGGAGATGGACTGTAACTCTTCACACTCATTTCATGTAGGAATCTTACAACCACCAGATTTAGGAGACTTTCATTCCATTAATCGGGGATGAAATAAAAATATTAGGTTACCAATTCACCAGGCCTCCCAGTTTCTGATTCTAATGTTTTAAAAACAAATTCTCTTTATTTTTTCTCCACCCCTCAATATTTGCCTTCTCACCCTTTTCTTTATCCAGGTATGACCTTGCCATACTCTGGCTAACAACTGTTTCCATTCCTACACCAATCTAATAATAATAATCCTTGCATTCGATATAACGCCTTATCACATTGAGACATCTCAAAGTGCTTCACAGGATATAAAAGTGCTTCACAGGATGTAAAGTGGATTGACAGTATTTTGTGGGCGAAGAATGGCAGCCAGTTGTGCACAGCAGTGTCCCAGGGAGTGAGTGACCATTTTTTTTTATCTTGGGAGATTGTTGGCCAGGACACCAGGAGAAACTCCCTTCTCTTTTTGAATCTTTAACATAACATCCACCCGAACAGGTAGATGGGGCCTCAGTTTAACATCTCATCCAAAGGACAACCCCTACACAACGCAACGTGCAGCGATCCTATAAGGAGGCACAATAAATATGCCAGTGGCTTGGGAGGATTCACTCCTTCCATCCTGTGCAAAACCATTTGCACTCCACAGAAGGCACAGCAGAGGGTGAGAACACATTGTGTGGAGATATTAAGGAACAGAAATGGCACTCAGTGGGAAACTTTATTGGATATCCATTGCAGAGTGGTACTTCCAATTTCAATTCCAAATGGAATTTTGTGTTTATTTAACTTAATTTGCTTTGGCGTTCTCTATTTTCTGCCTTTACTTGAAAAGTCGCACCTGTTTAAAAAATTGAATGATAGCAAGCAGGAATACAGGACGGAACAGGTATTTGTACAGGAGGTCAGTAAACATGGGATTTTTTTTAATATAACGGGGCAATGAACACAGGATAATTGAATATTTCCATAAGATGACAGATAATACAAGATAATGAGATGTTTTGTATAAGAGAACAATAAATGAAAATGTGCGCTTTTGTTGACTGTCAAGCTTCCATTGTCTTCAGTGAGAAATTGGTAATGAATACTGTATTATATTATTGTGATGAAATGTAATTAATCCTTTTCTGTGATTCTAAAGTGACATCCCCTTTAAAAGCAGGTGAACATAATGAGAAAGAAAACTGCAGTTGAGCAGTGGTAACTAGCTTATGTATACGGTACATTCAAGAAACATAACGTTACCACATCCATTAAATCCTCGATTCTCTGATACTAATACTTTCAAATTATCTTTCCCAAATAACTGAAAAGAGACTTGACAGAGTTTCATCCAATGCTGTGGGCGTGTTCCGCATTAAACTTTCTATGCAGGGCTCAGTTCAGCCTGAAGTTCAGGCATGTTGTGCAGCATGTCTGTGTGTGGTCGGGTGGTGTAACAATGAACCAGTTCAGTTCTTTGAATCCGCCATGGATTTGTTACAGGAAATGTTATCAAGTTCACAGAGGACATCTAATCTGTCAGAAGGAGAGATGTGTTCATCTTGTGGAAATTTATGTGCAATAAAAGGGTAGCCACAGAGCACAGTACCACAGGAATGAACTTGATATACTGCGGCAAAGAGAGGTGAGTTTAATGGCCCATTAATGAATTCCCACCTCTCTCATTATCATGAGGCTTTTGGGTGCCACAAAGGAATATAAATTATTAGATGCATAATCTGTACTAATATTCTACAACCTTAAAGACTCCAGAGGGAAAGTGAAACCATAACAACAATCTGTCAGGAAAGTGTTAAGGATAGAAAGCAAAGGTGACCGATTATAGAATAGAAACAGATAGAGAAGTGTAGAAATGTAGATTTTTATCAAAAACTTTAAGGGATTCAGAGGCCCCCGCTAATCTCGCCTCATGACTTTTTATGCTTCCCTTATAATTAACAAAGAGAATATGTTTCAATTCATTCCTCTTGTACTGACAGTTAGATTGCTTAGTCATGTCATTTATGGTGAATGTGTTTATGCTTCTTTCTTCTAAATTTTTAATACACATGCAACATATTTCTGCTGTGCGCAATTGGCTGCCATGATTCGCCCACAAATATACAGTCAATTCACTTTACAGTATATTCTGTGAAGCACTTTGAGATGTCTTGAAGAAGTGAAAAGCGCTATATCAAATGCAAGGATTATTATCTTATTATATTTGAATAACATAGAATAAATGGGGTAAATTTTGCAGTATTTCTTACTGGATTTCTTAATTTTTTTTTGTTGGGACTCCTAGTAAGTGGAGCTATATCACACGTGTCAATCCAACTTCAAGAAATACCAGTCTGAAATTTAGTTGGAGTGACATTGCCAGGAGTCATCATCATGGATGTGTTAAGTACCTCAAAATTAACCCCACAGATTAAGATATAAGAAGGTTTATGAGACGATCGCGGGACATATTAAACAGGGTCACTCAAACCTACAATAAGTAGGTAACAAAAAAGTGTAAGAACCTGACTAAAGAGGATCATCAGTCCTGGCCCCGGGCTGAGAAGAAAGAAAGGTAAACACATTCACCAGAAATGACATGATTAAGCAATCTAAATGTCAGTACAAGAGGAACAAACACATTTTCTCTGTTAATTATAAGGGAGGCACAGTAAGTCATGGGGATGGATTGGCAGGGGATTCTGAATCCCTGATAGTTTTTGTGAAAAATCATCAAAAATGAACTTGAAAATCAATGCCATAGTTTTTAGTATTATCAGCACTAAAGGTGCAGACGTGCAAAACGTAAAATGCAGCCAATTTAAAGTACAAATCCATGCTTAAACCATAGATACAGGTTTGCACAGAGTGAAATCTTATTACACTCTTGTTATATTTCTGACAGCACACAAGCACCAAATCTTAGATGGTTAATTAATGATATTATATTATATTATTATATTATACAGCAGTCCTCAGTGAAGGCGATGCATCAAATTCAAGTTAACCTTTTTACTAACTATAGTGCACTGATGGCTGATGTGTCTCTTATTTACTTTTGATATGAATAAATTAGTAGAATAAACAAAGCCTTGGATACTTGGATTATGAAACTCGTACAGAAAAATGTCATCAGCATTAATGCTTTGATGTGCGCTTGGGATGCCCTCCCGACGTGAAAGCCTCTACACAAATGTAATATTGTTGTTGTTGTTATACGGGTTCTCCTTACTCCATGCTCACAGAATAAACTGTGTCTCTTAATCTGCATCATGTTGTGTTCTGTGATGGCACTTCATTTAAAACACCCCTGGACCAGGCAATAATTACGACAGGCCTTGGAATGTATTTCTCACCAGGTGTTAATCCAATGATAAGTAGCACATCACACTGTACAATTTTCAATGGATATAAATGTTTTATAAAAAAAGGTTAAAGTAAAAATGGCTCTATTGTGATGCAAGGACAGATTTTAAGTGATTATCAGATACTTTATCATTAATCCCAAACATTACACATTTCTAACTGGGTTAATTTTAAAGATTGACCAAGAGTATTCAAAAAGCATAAAAAATGTGTTAAGCTTGCAAATGCTTATCAGAATTCATAAGATTTGTAACACTGATACATAAGTAGCAAGTATTACAACCTGTGTTAAATATCTATTGTATATTGACGATTGCACTGGGGTCTAATTTGTTCATTGGGCTAACAGCCTCAATGAAAATTTGCGCAAATGCAAAAAGAGAATTAGAGTTGTCTTTAATGATAAAAATAATAACCAATGACAGGAATTACAGGTGGTTATATAATTAAGGGAACCTGTACACTTAGCAAATGATGAACCCAACTCGTGAAGTGTATGACCTAAAGAAAGGCACTGCCAGGCTAAACAACAAACAACAAAATTACATTTGTAAAGCGTCTTTCACATCGGGAGGACGTTCCAAGGCATTGAATAGTCAGGGATCAGGACCCAAGCATGGCGAGGCCAGGGTTGGGATGAGAGAGCGCAGAGAGGTAGGAGGGCGACTAAAGGCATGATCAAAAAGGAGGGCCTTGAGTCGTGTCTTGAAGCAGGTTGATAGGGGGCTAGCAAGTCAGAGAGATAGGAGGGGGCAAGGCCATGGAGGACCTTGAAGGTGAGGACGAGGATTTTGAAATCTATCCTCTGGGGGATGGGGAGCCAGTGGAGCCAGGCGAGGGTGGGAGTCATGGGAATCACGGGGCCTGGTGAGGGAGAGAACACAAGCTGCAGAGTTCTGGATGATCTGCAGCTTGTGGAGGGAAGAGTTGGGGAGACCGACAAGGAGGGAGTTTCCATAGTCAAGCCTTGAGGTGACGAATGCATGTATGAGCTTTTGGCGGCCTGATAGGTGAGAGAGTGGCGGAGTCGGGCAATGTTGCGGAGGTGGGGGAAGGCAGAGCGGGCCATGGCACGGATAGGGGGAGAAAGGACAGTTGAGGGTCGAACAAGATGCTTAGGTTCCTGACTGGCCTGGTGAGGTGGAGTGTGTAACCATGCATGCTGCTGCTGCCAATGCCTGAGGTGCAGAGGTCCTGGCGCGAGTCAATCAGGAGGGCCTCAGTCTTGCTGAGATTCAGC